GACGAAAGCGGGCTTATGTTTAAGCCAAGGTCGTGGGGAAGTCCGGAGCGTCTTCAGGAGAAGCTCAGACCCAGACTACACTGTACCCAGAGCATTCGCTTCCTCTCTCAGTTGAGAAGAAAAGCAATTGGTCACCTGGTTGTACAAGCTGCATCCTGCGTCGATTGCTTACGTTTTTTCTTCGAGCTGACAAGAACCCCGGGAGGGGGGGGGGTGTTGCCTGGCGAGACGTTTGGGGGGGGTGGGTGCGATCGCCCCCACCGCCCCCCCCTTGGATCCGCCACTGGCCCTGCCCTAAGATATGTTTTCAGAAAAAAAATTTTTGATGACGTGAGCGCGGTTTTAACTTTTAGAAGCAGTGTGAAACTAGGCATCACTCAATAATTGATGAAAAATCAACTTTTTTTATGAAACACCCCAAAATATATTTTTCTTAAATTTGCACTGCTTTTGACTTACAATGTGGTTGGGCTTGTGCCGTTTTGTATAATTGAAATATTTTCTAAAATACACTTGTTTGAAAATTTTAGCATTTTTGTTATCTTGTTAAAATATCTAATTGCTCCCGGGACCTAATAGAACTTTTTACTGGCTGCCCTGTAAGCATATAACCTATAAAGAATGTTTAAAACCGTTCAATTAAACATCCTGCTGAAAAAATAAATAAAAAAACCCTAAGTTGCAAAAAAGTGCATTTTGACGCATAAACAGCCGTTTATTTCACCCTGAGGGGTTCCAAGTAAAAATACAAAATATAATGGGTTGGGAAGAACAATCGATTGTCTTTTGATCCTGAAAGTTTAATCAAAATGAATTTTGTTTAAAACAAGAAACAGTTTTTGAAGTTGAACTCTCGCACCACAACCCGGCGTCACTTCTTAACGCGTCTTCGCTGCACAGCGTGCCACCTGCAATGATAGCTGACACGATCGGGTCTAAAGTAAGCATGAAGTTTGCTGCCGCCGCCCCTTGTCCATCTTTCTGGCTGCAAGGGAAGAAACGGCGGGTATCGTGTAATAACCGGAGGTGCCGCCAGTGCGTAGCCATGGCAGGCCCGTTGTGCCCTTTGGACTCAAGGGCGGCTCCTCGCACTCTGAAACGTGATGCCTAATCGACGGGCAGCATCAGCTGACGTGGGTTTCTCCTAAAAGGAAATGCAATAATATTGCCGTGAAATCTAGCGATCGAGCATACCGCGATGAAAAGCGGAACTATGGTTTGGTTCGCGTTTACTTGGAGCACGGTGAAGTCTACAGGCACGTGATCAAAGCTCTGAAACGTTCAGAATCGGGAATAATGAGCACCGTACCAAAAAGAAGAGGCCGCCCGGTCAGCGAAGAAGTTCAGGCTTCCAGTGGAGTTCTCTCAGGACAACGTCTTGTACTGCCCACCGGGAACAAACAATGTTCTACATGGTCGCCAAAAGCATCTGTTGTTGCTCAACTTGAAAGAAATGCACGAGGAATGGAAAAAGAGCTGCGATTTCAGGTGTGGCTTTTCAACATCCACGAGTCTGCGGCATTCACGTTGTGTCCTAGCAGGAGGGAGCAGCACTCGCAAAGTTTGCTTGTGCATGGAACACCAAATTCTAAGCTCATGCTTCATGCTACAGTGTTAGAAAAAACCACCGAAGAACTTCTAGCCACTACGGTATGTGATCTACGCAATGAAGAGTGCATGCTTGACAGGTGTGCCAAATGCCCAAGTACCGATTTTGTTGATGTTTTGCTCCGCAGCACTCCACTTCTTGATCTGGAGGAAACTGATTGCGTCCAAGTGCAACAGTGGGTTAACGGGATGCGTTGCCAACTGGAACTTATTGTTTTGACGCCAGACGAGATCCAGGGAAAATGTTTAGATATGCTGAAGGCACTGAAGGCTCACCACTTTGGGAGCAGACAACATGCACAATTCTTGCGGGAGCGCAAAGCAAACATAGGCAAACACGAGGCAATACCTAATACTCATGGACTTTGCTGAAAATTATAGTTTCATCGTGCAAGACGCCCCGCAGTCCTATCACTGGGTAAATACTTGGGCCTCAGTACACCCCGTTGTTATTTACTTTCGCAAACAAGCCACCACCCGAGAGATTTCTGTAAAATCATTCAGTTTTATTTCTGACTGCCTAGAACACGACACGATGGCAGTTTCTATATTTCAGAATAAGGTAACTAAGATATTAAAACAAGACCTTCCGCAAATTAAAAAAAAAGAAGAAAATTCGCTACTTTTCAGATGGTGCCTCCTCTCGGTACAAGAATTAAAAAAAACTTCGCAAACTTCTGTCAACACGAAAATTATTTTTGCATTTCTGCTGAGTGGAATCTTTTTGCAGCAAGCCACGGGAAGAGTGCTTGTGACGGAGTCGGGGGTACAGTGAAGCGTCTGGCAGCAAGGAACAGCCTTCGAAGTCGCTTCGAGAAGCAAATCATGACGCCCCATCAGCTGTTCACCTGGCACAACGGCACGCGTTCGTTAACACCACAGTGCCTCGTCGTTTGCGATTGCCCGTTCATGGGGCTTTTGTGTTGCTGTTTACATCTGTCCCGACGTTGATAAGAGAGACTGATTGCGATGTGTACGAAAGAAACAGCTAGCTTACTAGTGGATGCTCTGACCCGGCAGCGCTAAGCATCTGCTGATATCAACACAGTGGAAGACCACAGGAGGACACAGCCACGCAAAACGGTCGAAATAGGAAAAGCCATAAAGCAGCAAGAGTGGAGAAACATCTCTTCCCACCAAGATGTACCCCCCGACAACTCGAGGTCCTGCTGTCTACCTGCGTGCGCACACCGTGACACCGTCGCACACTTTGCCGGGCTCGACGGTGGCGTGCTGTGCAGAGAAGAGGCGCAAGAAGCGACTCCAGGTTTTGGCGCGAAAGCTCATGTTCAAAATGTTTTGTTTTTCGTCTTTACAACAAAATTATTTTAATTAAACTTTCAAGAAAGAAATGGCAATAAACTCTTCTGTAAAAGTGACCATGTTTCATATTTTTCTTTAGACCACCTCAAGGCAGAATTGACGGCTCTTTAAACGGCAAAACACAATTTTGCACAAATTTAGTTTTGTTTTTGTTTTTTCTGCAAAATATTTAGTTGTATGGCCTGAAACTTTTTTTTTTTTTATGTACTGTATATCTACAGGGCTGTCAATAAGAATTTTTACAGTCGCTTGCAGCAAAGAGATAGTTTGGAACAAAACTAAGAAAATGCTAAAATTCTCATATATTCCTTAATTTTTTAAATTGCTTCAAGGACACCAAAATCTATGATCCTTATTACACAGCAATCCAAATACCATCTGGATTTTGGGCAAAAATATTCCAGTGTTCCATAAAAAAAATCTTACTTCTCATCAATTATTAAATGACTCCTAGTTTCACTTTCTTCTTACAAGGTCAAACCGCCATCACTTCATGAAATTTGTTTTTCATCAAAAATATTTTATAGGAGCACCACAAGCATTACTGTGAAGAGCCATTAATTTTATTTTAGGAATCGGAGGTGGCCGTGGGACCTTTGCCATGGCATGGAGAAGTCCATGTTGCCTGCTGTCGCCCATCGTTTAGGCATTGCGTTTCACACCGCCCTCGGGTACAAAGGGTACAACGGGCCTGTTATGGCTACGCACTGGCGGCACCTCCAATTATTACGCATAACCCCCCCTCACCCCGTGTTTCTTCCCTTGCAGCCGGAAAGATGGACAAAGGGCCAGCAAACTCTGTTCTTTCTTTGGCCCTAATCATGTAAGCTATCGTTGCAGGTGGTGCGCTGTGTGGCGAAGAGGCTGGGCTGTGGTGTGAGAGTTCAACTTCAAAAACATTTTTATCACTTTAAGCAAGAATCATTTTGATTATCCAAACCCACCACATTTTGTATTTTTACTTGGACCACCTCTGGGTGAAATCAACCGCTGTTCATGCATCAAAACACACTTTCTTTTGCAACTTTAGGATATTGTTTTACTGCAAGATGTTTCATTGAACAGTTTTAAACATTTTTTATAGGTTATATACCTACGGGGCAGCCAGTAAAAAGTTAAATGAAGTCCCAGGAGCGATTAGCTATTTTTCTAATAAAATAACAAAAATGTTACAATTGTAAAAAAAAAATGGTGTATTTTATAAAATTATTAAATTGAACGAAACTGCACAAGCCCAAACACATTGTAAGTCAAAAGCTGCACAAATTTAAGAAAAAAAATATTGCGGGGTGTTCCATAAAAAAAAGCCAATTTTTCATCAATTATTGAGTGATCCCTGTTTCACGCTGTTTTTAAAAGTTAAAACAGTGCTCAAGTCATCAAAAAAAGATTTTCGTCAAAAATATTTTAGGGCAGGGCTACGTACATTGCAACAAAAGGCCATAAATCATTTTTTAGAAATGGGAGGTGGTCGAGCGCAACATCTGGAGCATTTGACATGGAATGACCCTTTTGCAGAGTTTTCTAAACAAAGCCTGAATGATGCATTCATGCATTCTGAACATAATATAGGGGGCTAATCTTAACAAGTAAAATAATTAACTAAACTTTGTCGATAAAACATTTTAATTAGGGAAAATAAACATGGTTCTAATTAGAAACCTGCTGAGCATCGTCCAAAAACCACTAAGTAAATTTTAGAAATACAGTTGAACCTCGATTTAACGAAATCACCAGGATTCGCTAATTATTTTGTTAAATCGGGAACTTTGTAAAATCGACGAAGGGAGACTCGCGTATAGGCTGCGCAGGTAATCCGAATTTGTTCGTTAAATCGGGAAATTCGTAAAATCAAGATTCTTAACATTGAGGTTTAACTGTACTTGGAACATGTGGGAAGCACACTTCTGCTACAGGCACAAATGCATGGAGATAGCAGAAGCTGTTAGAAGGAGCCCGAAGAGCCTTCGGTACGACCTCAGAATGAAGGCCGACATTCTTCCGGGAAACTCGGCCTCCGAGGCTAAACCGGCGCTTTAAAAGGCAAGCTCGCTTCAATTTTTGCTCAGGAGGACACCATCTCAATCAATCATAACTGGTTCAACGGATGCAACATTGACGTCGTCTGGAAAAGTCTCCTCAAAGCCCTGGACGACGTTGAGAAGGAGATCTGCGAGCTCCGGGACTCCGAGGGGTGGCACGGACAGTGTCAGGCAAGTTCCCATTCTGTGCCCCAACATTGAATAACTGGGAGAGATCCTGTACCTGCCTGTACTTGGCCTTTTCCGCTATACCGGCATACCTGCCAGGACCCCCCGGGGAGACTCTGGAATTTCGACCTGTTTGTACAGTTGTACGGTTGACAAAGAAAAACTTACCTGAAAATGCAAATTACTCCCCCCCATCTTCCCGCAGTTAAACGAGGAGCTTTTGCCGTCGCAACAGGCGGCTGCGATGATAGCGAGGTTAGCTTTATATCGCTAGCATGAGCAGTGCAATATAAATGCAATGAAGTTGTCTTCGTGTAAATTTGTTGTCAGTATTTCTTTTTTAGAAAACCGCTACCCATTGCTTAGAAATTCTGCCGGATTTGGTTTGTCTAAACTTGACAGGTATGTACCGGGTCTTTCAGCTAACATGCTAAAAGTAGGGTGGTTGAAGAAAAAGTAAACTCTTTTGGAACAATCTACTAGCCATGCCAATACGATATAATACAATACATTTTATGATGTTTTTTTTGTACCATTTAATTCCCACATGAACCAAGGAGGCTTGTGCATGGGACACAGCAGAAAATAAATGACAAGAACACGTTTGGGTGTTCAACAAAAGAAACAAAACAAAGAAAAACACTATTCAAGTAATAGTGTACATACACAGCTATCAAAGCCTGGAAACGAGTGTTACCTGTACCTGCACATACTAAAGAATTGGTAGAACCATATCAGTTTGTTGCGATACTTGCTTTGATCCACTAAGCAATATTTTAGAAAAATTCCCCAACTTTTTTTGTAGTATGTTTTTTTTTTCTTACTTTTTTTTATTATTTATTGTTTCAGGAGACATTTTCAGGGGAGATTCAGAGATTGCAAAAAACACACAAATTAGCTAAATAATTAACTAGAATGTACTAATTATCTTTTTAATCAGCAAAAACAAACTTATGAGTCCCATTAGAAACTTCCTTGGCACCATTGAAATCAACTAATTTTATAAAAATATAAGACACATAGGGGCATTTTAGCGTTTCAATAAAACATTCAATTTGGACGCATTTCTAGGTTTCGTTTTGCGTATCTGTGCACCGGCAGCTCAGCCTCCTTGTGACCAAGGCACACAGCCATAGGCGTAGACTACGGGGGGGCATCGGGGCTCGTGCCCCCCCTGGTGAGGGGGGGGGGGGGGGGGGGGGGGGGGCAGAGGGGCCATGATCCTTACCGAGACACTGTTTACGTGCCATGTAACGAGCTTCTATAGTAGTGGCAGGTAAACAAAATAACGCCCACGTTGCCTTTATTGACAAAATACATGGGAAATGGAATGCCAGCATGCTTTCGTTAGCTTCGATCTCCAGTTGTGGCGAGAAGGTAACGCGCAGCACCCTCCCCCCCCCCCGCCCTTGGGGAGAACTTAGCCTGCCCCCCCCCGGCAAAATGAAAAGTCTACGCCGCTGCACGCAGCTACTGCCACAGCTACTGGGACAAAAGGGCAGGACTGCTGGCACAAACCATAACCTACAAACACATTGAAACTGTTTTTTTTGGAAAGTCATACAATGCTGTGTGTGCCTTATATATTTATAAAATGAGTTGACTTAGGGTTTTTTAATGATGTTCAGAAAGTTTATAATTTTAACCACCTTTCTATTTTCTTGAATTAAGAAGATAATTAGTATATTTTTGTTGATTATTCAACTAATTAGTATGTTTTTTTTTTGCAATCCCTGATGTCCAGTACAGCTGGCATCGTTCCCTTCAGAAATGATATTTTTCTCACCCGGCCTATTTTTAGGGATTTTTTTGAGTCTTAGCTGGAACGTCTGGTATGTGGTGTGTTGGGCCACTGGAAAGATCTGCTTCTAATTGCTCGACATTCGTCATGATCTACCCCGTGGCTCCTAATCACGAGTGTCACTCAGGCTGTCCTACAGACCTGAAAGCCTGACCATGAGTCTGGCTTTTGTTTCAGTTCCGTAGCTTGTTTTCTGCACTCTCCAGCAGATGGCTGCTTACCACAATCGCTCATTCTCCTCCTTTAAACTATTTTATTGTTTATTTTAAATTTTCACAGAGAGAGAAAGGCGACATGACCTCAATGCGGAGGTCTACACAAGCTGACGAAGAAATACAGAAACTTTTATTTGAAAGTGACAAGTGATTTACCATTTCCAATTATAGTCCTAGCACTTCTTGGATGACTCCAAAACTTTATTTAAAATCAGCAATTTGAAAGAAAATGAGGGGAAACATTAATTTCACCTCCAAATGTCGTTTCCTGCCCTCCCCCTTCCTAAATGTTTTCATCAATGCCAGTGAGGAACTACTGAATAAACGCATCAGATGGCCAGTAATTAATATACAGCCTCTGTGAATGTTTTCTTTAGTTTTCTTGTAATTTGATTACGTTAAATAAAGTTTTATGGTATGTTTTAAGGAAAAATAGTATGTAATGTGTTAAGGGTGTGCCGGGAATCTGCACAAATAATATAATAATAATAATAATAATAACTCAGAGGTACGTGTGCCTGGAAGGTCTCGGAAAAAGAAGACACAAAGTCTTTTGACGTGACCATCGAATATCGTATAGCAGTTAGCAGGCGAAACATAAACATTAGCAGAACTAAGTCATAGAAAGCAAAAACGTCAATGAAGCGGCAAAAGAATGCTGTAGCAAAAGAAAGTGTTCTAACGTCGTTTTCACTATTGTTTGAAAACATCTGGAGTGACCTAGCTCTGTAGCACTTCTTACCAACTGTTAGGAAATTCTCCTGCATACTGAGGGTTGGGAGATTTTTTTGGTCACTGGTGGAACGGTGGGCAAATACTTGGGTCCCTATCAAAACGTCGAAAATCAAGAGGCCGAGTTATGAAAGGCCGAACGTCAATACGCCAAAAAATTGAAATGCCGAAAAATTGAAATGTCGAAAAATGAAAATGTTGAATAATCAAAATGCTGAAAAGACATAACGCCGAAAACCATGTGAAAAAGAAATGACGTGCTTTGTGACTATGACCTGTTCCTTTTCCGCCAGATCACTTTCCACTGACGCGAGCCTATTTAACTCGTTCTGCAAAGGCACCATGTGATGTTATATGTTCAAGTCAAACTGCCGAAGGAGGAATTCAGTCATACCGTGAGGTTTGATCAAGATATATATATATTCAAAAAAATTAACAAAAAATAAGAAACGTTCTAGCTATACACAAATATACAGGTCAGAAATTGTCTCACTTTCAGTCCGTCCTTGTCTGGCTGAAGGTCTTGATGCTGTCTTGTTTTCAGCAGCGCTTGGTTGTTGGTGAGTGTTGTTCCTTGTTGATGGTCTGGGATGCTCTGCTCCGGGACACCGCCGAAGTCGTTCCCAGTGATGTTCCTTGGGTGTTCCTTGAGGCTGGTCTGGGATGTTCTGCTCCGGGACACCGCCGAAGTCGTTCCCAGTGATGTTCCTTGGGTGTTCCTTGAGGCTGATCTGGGATGTTCTGCTCCGGGACACCGCCGAAGTCGATAATCTTTCCCACCAGCGGCTACTTCGGATTGCTGCCGAATGCCTCGTTCATGCCGGATGTTGCCGCTTTGGTTGCACACCGCCAAGCTGATGTTTCACCCGACAGTAGCACCCTCGGGACGTTGCCGGGTGTGCTTCCACCTGGTCGGGTTACCGCCAAACAAGAACCCTCCTTCTTTCTTCTTTTCGCCCCCTTCTCCTCCGGCCTGCTTCCTCGACGTTTTCCTCTTCTGCTCCATTTTTTTCTGTTGTAGCACGACATTTACCCCCTCCTCCAGAATTTAGTCATACTAAATTTCTACACCGCGTTGATGCATCCTTCCCCTTTTTTTTTTGTTTACGTCCCTGTGTTGATTTACCAGTTTGCGCATCACTTTCACACCCTGAACGTTTTATATCTGGCCCGCACCCAGTTCGCAATTTCAGGTACACCAGCACATCAGCTGCATTTCACTGCCGCCGCTAAAGCACTTCTATCCGTTACTGTATCACGGTATACTTCCATCATGCGTATAAATATTATCATATCTACAAAAAAAAAATTTCCACCCTACCCCTTTTTGTCGATCAAACTCTGCTCAAGTAGTCCGCCCCGATATTGTCTTTGCCTTTTATATACTTAATCCTAAATGTAAACTCTTGCAGAGATAAACTCCACCGCATTACCCTCGCGTTGTTGAGTTTCGTCTTATTCAAATATTCTAGCGGTTGATGGTCCGTCTCAACTTCGAATTCCTTTCCGTACAGGTAAATAGCATATTTACCAATTGCCCACACGAGTGCGAGGCATTCACGTTCTATAGCCGCAAAGTTCTTTTCGCTTGCGCTAAGTTTTCTACTGCCATATAACACTGGGTGCAGCATGCCCTCGTGCTCTTGCAACAGCACTGCTCCCAAAGCTTCGTCTGATGCATTCGTACGCAGGACAAATTGCTTAGACACATCGGGCGCTAACAAAATGGGTGGTTCTGCCAGCCTTCTTTTAAGCTCTTTGAAGCTTGTGTCATGTTCAGAGCACCATTCTACTGTGTTACTTTGTCCCTTCCTTGTGAGGTTAGTAAATGGGGCTGCTATCTCTGCATAACGGGGTATAAACTCTCTATAATACCCTGTAAGACCTAGAAAGGCTCGCACCTGTTTTTTTGTCTTTGGCGCCGATGCTTGTTGAATCTTTTCTATTATTTCCCTCTTCGGTGCGATTTGGCCCATACCAAGCTTGTGACCTAAAAATGTTATCGCGTCAAACCCAACCTCACATTTGTTTGGCTTAACCGTGAGATGATTCCTCTTGAGACATTAAAAAATTTGCCGTAATGTTTGGCAGTGGTCTTCTCACGAGTCAGTGGCCACCAAAATGTCGTCAATGTAATGATGTACATTGGGCACCCCCTCCAGGACGGACCTCATCAACTTGGTAAACACTGCAGCAGCCGTCTTCAGTCCGAAAGGCATAAACCGGAATTGGTAAAGGCCCGTTCTTGTAGAGAA